AGTTGAAAAAATTTTTGAACATTTGATGGTTCTCATATTTTGTTAAAAAGATGACCATATTCTTTGCTTCAAGATTGCAAATACTTTTTATTTTTACATTGCTAAACACCAATTAGAATGACTGATTCAGTGAATTAAAATTCTACATAATCTATTTTCTTGCAATTATCTTTGAAACACTCATACCTCCACTTTGTGAAGTGTATCAGGTAAACTTTGGTGCATAAGAATCATTACAGTTAAAGAATACTGTCAAATGTTCTTTTAGAAAAATAGTTAAGGACGTGGCTCCATAGTGTAGCGGTTAGCACATCTGCTTTACACACAGAAAGTCCTAGGTTCACTCCTCAGTGGAGCCACAGTCCATGGTCTATGGCCATGCCACCCTGAACAAGCCCAATGCTTGATCTTGGAAGCTAAGCAGGGTTGGTCCTGGTTAGTATTTGGATGGGAGACCACCCAGGAAGACCAGATGCTGTAGGCATAAATAATAATAATAAATAATAAAAAGAAAAGAAAAATAGGTGGTCAGATTCTTGTCTCCAAAAATTACATGGTAAAATTCTACTTGTTGAGTAATTAACTAACAGAAGCATATATCCTTTTCATCTTTAGAAGGTGTAGTCATCAACCATTGAGGCTTTTGTCTGAGACAATTCATCTAGGATATCATCACATGATGACTCAGTCTGAGATTTTACTTAAACAATCCATTTCACCGTCATCATGAGAGTCCAAAGTGCAACTGTATTTTTACATTCATCTTCTAATTTGACGATTTTAAAACATCTTCTGTCAATTTTAATCTCTTTGCTATTATCAGGAGAAAATGAAAAATTCTGAATTTTTATGAAAAACTAAAAGCAGACTTTAAAGATAAATGTCTCATATTATTCTATACTTTCTTGAAAGATGATGCAATATTTTGGGGCCACACAGTAGAAAAATTAGATAATTATGCAATAATAATTTCATCACCCTTCTAGGCTTCTCATTGTATCATCTTTCTAAGCCAATTGTCCCACACAACTGTAATGAAAGCCACTAATATAATTTTCTAGTGGGCACATATGATAAGAAACAGGTAAGATTAATTTTAATAATAGCCTTTAATCTGTGATATTATCTTTTAACATGTAATCAACATAAAATTATCAATGAGCTATTTTACATTCTTTATTTTTATTCTAAGTCTCTGAAATCTAATGAGTGTTTTATACTTATAGCACATCTCAATTTTGAATAACCACATTTCAGGTGCAGAGTAGTCACATTTAAATAGTGGCTACAATATTAGACAGCAGAGTTTTGGACAATTACACCATTCTTCCTTTTTTCCTTAAAATTTTAGTCTCTCTTTTTTTTTTTTTTTTTTTGATCATCGGAATTGGTTGATAAATAAAGATAAAGTAATTCCTAGAATGGTAAGGAGGAAAAAAAGTCTCCAGATATGGAAAAACAATATCACTAACTTTTCATACTGCATTTTAGATTTATAAAAGAGTCTAACAGGTCTTCTGATAATTGCAAGAAATAAATTGTGTTCTTTTTTTAAAGTAGTTTTGGAATTCTTAAAACTCATTAAGAAAACAGCTAGCTGATTAAAAAATGGGCAAAGACCTTAATGGACACCTCATTATAAAAGATATACAGATAAAAAATAAGCACATGAAAAGATGCTAAACATATATCATCAGTAGGTGAATCGACAAATAAACAGATACATCGAGACAATGGAATATTATTCAGCACTGAAAAGAAATAAGCTATGAATTCATGAAAAAAAAAATACAAGGAGAAACCTAAAACGGGTAAAATGAGTGAAAGAAGTCCATCTGAAAATACTAAATATTGTATGATTCTAGACATATGACATTCTGGAAAAGGCAAAATCATGGAAACAGTAAAGAATTGCCAGACACGATAAGTGGTTTCCAGTGATTTTGGGGAAGAAGAGATGAATAAGTGGAGCACAGAGCATTTTTAGGGCAGTGAAATTATTTTGTATGAATCAATAATGGTGGGTACATACTGTTATATATTTATTCAAACCCATAGAATGTACAGCACAATGAGTGAATCCTAATGTAAAGTGTGGACTTTGTGTAATAATGATGCATCAGTATAGGTTCCTCATTTTTACCAATGCACCACTCTGGTGGGATGTTGATAATGAGGGAGGTTATACATGTGTGAAGTCAGAGGCTATATGGCAAATCTCTGTACCATTCTCTCAATTTGGCTATGAGCGTAAAACTACTCTAAAAAAAAGTCTTAAAATTTAAAAAAGGGTTTTTTTTGTACTTTAGAAGACCTCTGAGAATAAAAGTCATGAAGTACTAATCTATATAAGCGGTTAGAATTGCTCAAAAAAAGAGTAAAAACTACAGTTGAATCCAAAGTGCCTTGGTAGTACATCAAGGATTAACCATTTTCATTGGTTTTTATTTTTCTTTTCATGGAAATGTCATATCAACCATTTCACTTTGGGGATAATCCATTACCTCAATTTTAAGGAATGGGAATTGGAATCTTTTAACATCCCTAATTTAAGCTGAACCTGCTTTGCATATATATAGTCATAATGTGACATTTACAAATAGGAAAACAGATATCTTTAAATGCTATATATTATATACAATGTTATTCTATAAAGTTGTTTATAAATCTAGGGTATTAAATTGCTTTCTAACATTAGCTCATAAAGGAATGAGCTTTTTCATTTCTTTAATAAACTAATTAAATCATTTTGACAGTAGATATTTTATTGACTGAATCAATGTATGTAATTAAATGGTGATATTTAACACTGAGTTTAAAGCCTACCATTTGCAATTCTGTTCCCACACAGAACCAGGGTACTCTGCATGCCAGCCCCACAGTGCTGAGCAGGTCATCGATGAGCACCACGGGGAAGGTCACTAAATTAGACATTAGGAATATGTAATCTAATCTCTGTTCCAAAGGAAACTCATTCTGACCTCAATCGAAGTATTAAATCTGTGAGTATCTCACATACCAAATAAGTATATCTTCCTGGTCTTTTCTATTTCACATTTTGCTAACATAAGAAACTAATAATTATTTTGTTTTGAGATGTGAAGCATCAATATTTGAACCTCTCTAATATTTTCTCATTAGATGAGGTGTCAGAGTAGGCTGATGATTAAAAATAAGGCCAAAGGACAGAAGACAGACAGATAGATACACACACACACATGCGTACACCATTAACACCATTTCTCAATCCATTTTTATTTATTTTTTAATTTTATTGCATGTCTTGGAAAACATAAGTGGCTTGTAGATTTGCCTCTGGCTCACCGAAAGCCCATAATGCAAAATACCAAAAGACAAGCAACTGAAGTTTAAAAAAAAGTATAACATCTATGAGAAAGAACCTTTCAAAGACATTAACAAAGCATATAAAACATTTGACATTTACTTAATTTTTGTACAATTATAAAAATAATAAAAAAAAACACAACCCTTTAACATTCAACATTCCATATACTGTACTTTAGGATAATATCAAGAAAACAAAATGCAAACGGATTTAATGAGCAAAGTTCTGTTCTCCAGTTCTGTTTCTAACCATCTCCAAACAAAATCCTATCCAGTTCTCAGCTAACTGCATTGAGCTGAGGCCACACGAACTTTATTAAGCCCATTCTCACTTGTTTATCCTTAATATTCTTTTACCCCTATGTCCTAGCTATGCATACACTCAAAGAGCGTAAGTTTCCACCAGGATGAGGCCAGTAGTTGCACTTAGATACAGTACAGGAATTTCTGAGTCCCTAGTGCCATCTGAATAGTGCTGAAATAGCTCAGAAGAAGCCCTTACGTTTACTCAAACACTCAGGAAAGTAGAAGAAGCCATTTGTCTTCCTAGCTTTGCCAAGGCACAGCTTTCATTCTTCTCTATAGGTTTTCCAAGCTGCATGCTTGTTACACAAATTAACAGTGCTTATCACCATTTAAGCACAATGAAACTTTGAAATCAAGGACTCACTCTCTTTAACATACAAAATAAAAATAATAATAAAAAACAATAACTTTCCCTTCCCCCCATCTTAGTTATATTTTTTATTTGACGCTGTAGTCATACTAACTGTTGTTTCCATGAAAATATAAAAACAATAATAATAATAAAAAAGGTTTCAATCGTGGTTCTGAAAAACCCGCTATCCCCAAAAGAAAAAAAATTTGAAACACAAAATATGCAATTTCACACACAAAACATATGTACACTTTTCAGATGAAACTCATACATTATATTTTAGAGCCACATTAGCCCTTTTGCACTTTAAAATAAAAATGAAAGCTTATGTGCAATGATAACCCTTTGCCAGAAAGTATGAGAGGATTTTAGAGCTCATTAGCATATACACAAAATATTTGTTTTATATTTTGAAGAAAAAACTTGCTACAAAGTATGTTTCTGAAACGTCTAGGGGAATATTGTCATTTACATGTTTCCTCAAACTTTGAGGATAATTCTTTGTTTATGTGGTTCAAGTAACAGCTCTAATGGAAGGCTTATTCCCTGAACTGTGGGGACATTTTTATGTCTATGCACAGTCCAGAAGAGAAACAGATGGGGAATTGGGTCCTCACAGTTACTTTACAATAAAGTAAAACTCTTATTCATTAAAAAAAAAAAAAAAAAGTGATTTAGTGATGCAACTGATACCACAGAGGAAAACTAATTTCATAATTTTATATTTTCCAAATCAATACTCTTATTTTAAACTTTGAGGAGATAAACGAGCCTCTACGTGAAGATTTTTATAGGAGTGTCTCTAAAAGAAACATCTACTGAATAATATTATTTATATTTCAAAAGGTCTTCGAAGAATTTTGATTCATGGCTCACTGAGACCTCTTACTGTTTAGTGGAGATTCAATATTTCTATATAATATCTGCTTTTCTTGGATATTCTCAATAGACATTACAACTTCACTGTAAGAACTGGATAGATGGCATTCATCCCAATCAACTCAAACTTAATTCTATCAAGGGTAGCAAAGGTGTAAGTGAGTTAGTCAATCTACTAGTAAAATTTAGTTATAATGCTTTTATAATGGCAGCAGATGTTTTTCCAATAAATGCCAAGAGATCAGGTGTTTGGTAGTGAATTTAAGGGAACTGCTAATACATCCCCAGATACATGATACCAGGTATTTTTGAACTGGCCATGGACCTTTTAAAAATTTTAGCTATACTCCATATTCTTCATTCCCAACCTAAAACAAGAGAGGGTATTTTCTTTCTCTAGCGTGTGATAATGTGAATATAAACTTTTTCTTGAAATTGAACTAAATAATCCCAAAGTGAACCACCATCACTAGTAGGAATGGCAGTAACACATAATACACCAACACTGAGAATCATGTACATATGTATACAGTTTCACCCACGTAATAAGCAATGGTAAATACAAGTGGCTCTAGCCAAAGATTTGATGTGGCCTGTGTTTAACATCAAAAGAACTTAAGAAATCTATACATCATTGTCACTTACACATACCATCAAGCTCTAGATATGTATTAACATACATGATACCCCTTGAGAGAAGAGGTATAGATAAACTATCCAAAGCAAGTAAATTAAAAAAAAGTCAATAAGTGCAACTCAATTTCCTTTCCTTTAAATTACATTTTAACAATACTCAATGCCCCCACTCAAAAATATATATCATATATTTATATATTTATATATATAGTCTTAGACTATAAGGGTGAAAATGCTTTATAAAAGTCAATGAGACATCTCTGCAGCTGACGAAGATACCCACTGCTTTTTTGGCCCCCTTCTACCTTGCTGTGACAACTTTAGTTCTGTCAAGCAATAGATTTGAGGGCTTAAAGCCAGAATCAGGGTGGAAATTAGGCAAAAAGTAGCCTCTTCTCCTTCCCTTAAAAAACTAGACTGAGAAGAGGAAGGAGATAGGGAGAACGTTTGGAAGGTCAAGCAGTAGTGCCTTGTAGGGAGCTAGGCAGATGGGAAGAGAACAAAAAGAGCTCAGACATTAGTGCTCACTCTCCCTCCTCTTTAATACGCTGTTGCTTGTTGCGACGTGCATCCATGTCAAAGTTGAAGTCATTCCACTCATCGCGGGGTGGGAAGGAGATGGTCTGGCGGAGGGTGAAGCGCACAGCATCAATAACACGCTCACCGCGGGTCTCACTGGAGCCCACACTGACTGTGGAGGTACCACTTGGGGTCCGCAGGAGATGGGGAGGGGAGGAGAAGTCATGGAGCTGCCGGTGGTCCAGGATGCCCTTCCAGATGGCATGTCGGAACTGCTCAGGGATTTTTAAACTTGCCAAATCCTGTGCAGTAGGAAAAGGAGTCAGGGAGAATTAGGACAAAGAGACAATCAACATTTAGTCTACACCATTTTGTCATTCCCCTGTGTTCTGGTTTAAATGACTTGTATTGATCTCTAAACTGGAAAATAAAATTAACTCTCAGATAACCTTTGGCACTATATGTAACTAAGCACAAAAGTACAGCTTTGAGGGGCCATCTCTGCTGTGGATAACATTTCACTCTTTCGCTACTGGTCTCGCTTCTTCCATTAGTAAAATGGGGACAGTATTTAGATCCGAGGGCAAAAATTCCAAAACAAAAACATAAGGTAAAGGTACCTTCTGACACTTAAATGTACATGGCTCTAGTCATTAGGAAAAAAGGTATTAATGGAATGTCGCCAGCACTCAAATGAGAAAATGAGAAGAAAAGATCAGGTATTGAGCATTTTCTACATGCCAGGCACTGAACTAATTATTTTATTTTCATGATCTCATTTAATGCTCAGATTAGTGATAGATATTATTACACCTAATTTTAGATATGAAAGCTGAAGGTCAGAGAGGTTGACAAGTCTAAAGTTATACAACTAAGTGAATGAACTGGGGACTCAGGACATCCTCTCAGTCTAAAACTGCCCCAATGGCCAAAAGGCCTTTTGGTATTTGGACAAACCAGGGTATCAACATGCAGAGTATGTGCTCATGTTCTATGGATGGGAGCTAGAGGCATTACAAATATGGTTTACCTTAACTAACTGGTAGTATCTCATAGTTATCAATGTTAGTGCTTCATTAGCTTGTTTCAGTGATGGCTCATGTTTCTTTATAGAACAGCATGGTGGGTAGAAATAACTTTGTGTATGGAGACAGATGACTTTGACAAAGTTTCTCCTACTGACATTTACTGGCTCTAGACATTCATCAAGCCACTTATTCTCTACTGGGCCTCATTGGTAAAATGGGATACAATTCCTTTTTAGGTCAACAGATATTGTGGACTCCTAGTAAATGTGGATATTCAAGTATTTTGCAAATTATAAAGCATACACTTTAAATCTTAACCATTTGTATTATTATGTTATGTTATTAATCCATTCTTGCATTTCAGAGGGGATACTTATGAAAACTCCCAAATTTAACCACATTCCTTTTCTAGGAAGGGATGCCAAATAACTTAGACTGATGTTGAGAGACAAGCTGAAAAAGTGGCATCTATTTCCAGTAATGAGATAGAAGAAGCTGGGTGAAGATGCAGAAATTAGATAGCTTCCCAATATTTCCCAATTTGGATATTTGCAGTATGGATACTCCAATTTCCTATTCTAGCAGAAGAACATGTTATAAAAAAAAGAAATCCACAAATACATAAGTGAGCATGGCTCTTTACACTTCTGAATTTCCCAGTAAGTCCCAAACTCTTTGTAAACTAGGCTCCATTAATCTGCATGACTCTCTGAATAGATTTGAACTTATAACTGACAGGTGAGAAAGCTATGGCCCAGAGACTGGCATAAGACCTAGTTAACGCTAGCAGAAATGTACTAGTGAAGAGCGGCTGCAGATCCCAATAGCCAAGGGTGCACACTGACACACTCCCCAGTGCGGGCAAGTGAGCAAATGTAAGGTACATCTTTAGAAATATAGGGAAGGAACAAATTTCCTGTTCCATTTTGTAAGTCTCTCACACACAGGGCAACTTTATTCTTCAGTGGATGAACATCATTGTAAAGTTATCTGAAACCTGTCAGAACTGACCCTTTAAGCTTTTTCCACAGTTTTCACCTATAATTTATTCCATCAGGGAGCAGCAGCCAGGGGTGACTTATGGGGTAAATAGGGGTGGGCATAGGGGCGTCACAGCATAAACTTGTCACCACAGGGCTGGGGCATTCTCATGCTGCAAGGGCATCTCTAGCATCGGTGCTCAAGGAGGGGGAAAAAAGAGATCCCAACTAAAGAAGCAGAAGCAGAGGCAGAGTGTCTTCTTCCACCAGTCCAAAGGGCCCTCTGGAAGCTGGAAGAAAGGATAGTAAACCCCAAAGAGACCAGCATGAAGGGTAGTCTGGGAGGAAAATCAGATTGCCTTAAACTAGGACAATATGAGCTCCCATATGAGTAATAGTGCCAGGAGTGGTGTAGGAAGCAAGAAAAGTCCCCTCCCATCCAGTTTGCTCTAAAGACAAACCAAAGAATGTCAAAGCCAGAAGAGGGTGATTTTGAATCCAATTTGATTCACTGAGACCCAGAGAGGCAAAGTGATAACCTCAAGTTCTCATCGCTGCTAACAAGCAAAGTTGGGAATTGAACCCGCAACCAGTGATCTTTCTCAATGACCAGGGATGTCTGGGCCCTATTCTGACAGAATTGAAAATGAATATATGGTTCTTACTGAGAGAAGCAGCTGAATCCCCTCTAAGGTACTACTTTAAGGAAAAGCAGAAGAAGCCAACTAATAGAGTTAAAGACCAGAAGTTTACACCTTAGCATTCTATTCCTGATTCTGTCATCAACTCATGATGGCAAATGACTATATTGTTGTCTTTCCATGTTTTAAAGTGAAAATAATACCACCTGCTTCCTGCTATCCTCCTTGGGATCTTATACCAGTTAATAAGAACATCCCAAAAGTTCTCTGAATTCTTTAGAGATTATAAATTTCTCGAAGGTGGGAATTAGATCTCCTCTTTCCTATTCCGTATATAGTATGCATGCAACAGACAACTGACTGATCAAACGAGCTGAGGAAGATTGATTGCTAAGCTTCTCATAGGTATAGGCTGAGGCATGAGAATCTTTCTAATATGGTTATGGAGTCCATCAAAATTGAGGATTGGGGGTATGACAAAAACGGATTTTAAAACCAGGGAGATTGAACTACAAGGCGGATGTCATCAGAGGGATAAAATGAAGAAATAAAACTCAAGAGAAAATTCTGACAGTTACTTACATCCATGGAGTAATGCTCAATCTGATAGATGGTGGTCAGCCCCTGGGTCGTGAAATAGTCCAGACATGATGAACAGCCCAACCTCGCTAAGAAACTGCAGAGGGAGGAGGGAAGAGGAAGAAGGAAACAGAAAAAGAAAGTTCACCCCAACTGCATTGGCAAGATAAAGGAAAACCCAACATTTTGCCCTGGGATGCCTTACAGAGACTAAGGGCAGATGAAATGTTAAGTGGTCCTTGGATTTGAGGTTTGGCGATGATTAATGACTTGAAATTTAGGTCTATAAAAATTAGAATCAACTGTAAGGATTCCTGCAGAGCAGCAATTTTCAAATGGTGTCTGCATCGTAAGGGTTCTATGTAAGTGCCTTAGGAGCCATTGCAGGGGGTGAAAAGAAGGACTCAGCCCTCTTGCCTCCTGGCTCTTCAGCACAAAAAAGAGCATCTCTACTTTGTTTTGTATTTGGGGGTTCTGAGATGGTTCTGAAAATGGAACCTGTCCTTAGGATAGGTCATTGTAGGCCACTATCCAAAGAAGTCATTAATGCTTTTTGATTTATGTCTTCCTCAAAATACAGACTCCCTCCTTTTTGGTGCTGGTCTCAGACCGACAATGCCACCGCCATCATGGAGCCAGAGCTGGGTGGAATAAGCCATCTACTTTGCCATTCCTTTAAATGACACAGCTAGTTCTGTTGCATCAATCACATGGAGATTGACACACATTAATCCAGCAGCCAAATGAAAGAATCATTCTGCACATGAAGCAGGGGCAGACAATGTGCACTAGGCATGAGATTTGGGTGCTTTTCTTGCCTCCTTGAAAAATAGATCTTTCAGGCTTCATGCATTTCTCCTCTTCTTGTTATCTGAACTCCCTTGCCTCAAGTGTACCTATTTCCCATATTATAGCAAAGCAGCAGAGGCCATCAAGTTCTTGAAAGCTCCTGTCATTTTTGCTAACATCAAAACTTTTTTATGGACATCCAACTCCAAAATAATAATCCCATGGTGGCTGAGAGCTATGAGGCCTAGAGAGCAGGAAAGGGAGCGAGATAGCAAGTTTGCTGCCCTTTTGGGAACCCCAGCCCTGAGCACCAATTTGAAGGCCACAACTGAGAGTATGAAAATGTGAGGGAGGAGGAAGGGAGAAAGTGAAGATGGGGGAAGAGGCATGGAAAATTATATGCCTATAAACTCACATTTTCACTTTTTCCCATGTTGATTATAGTGGTGTTCCTTGATTAAATACTGCTGACCACTCCATGGATCAGAGATAATAGTGGCTGTACTTAAACCATAGGGCTGCTTTCTTTCTTTCCAACTGTGCTATTAACTTTGGACAGTGTCCGCCCTCCACCACCCAGAGATGCTTAGGACAGGCACATGCTGTGGACTCACCTGACAAGGCTGCAATCTGTGGGGTACGGAGGTGGGGGGGTGCAGTGAGAAGTGGATGGCATGGAGAGTGGGGGAGGGAGGGCCTGGGTGGGGCTGAGTCCATTCATGTCTCCAGCCATTGGCATGTGGGTGCCCATCATAGGAACTGAACAGAAGCAGGAGGAACAGAGAGGGTTACTGCCGTCATCACGTACCAGCATCCCAGTGGTCCACCTTGCCTGGTTTGATGTTACCAAGGGCCTAATCTATCAAGCTTCCTTTTTAGCCTTATCTCTCATGACGCCCCTTCAAGCACCCTACATCTCACCGATCAGAAGAGTCACCTAAGTCCAAACTAATTACACACCTCTTGACCTTGTACATTCTTTTAGGACAATCTCTTCCCACTTCTTTCTCTGCTTCTAATGCTCTATCCAATTGCTCACTGCTCCTGATGTTAATACTTTCCTCCTTGTACTTGCCTTCATGGGTCACATGACTACCTCCCTCACTAGACTAATCTCTTCAAACATGGAAATTAGATCCTGTACTTGTCTAGATCCCCACAGATCCTAGCACAGTGCCTGGCACAGAGCATACACTCATTAAACATAGGTTAAGGGGACAAATGAACAAATCTGTGAATGAGAGAGTGACCTTTAGAATATCTGTTTGGGAACAGGAGGATTTATTGAAATATTTATAGAGAACCATAAACCATAGAGAACCATAATAAGGAAGAATGCAATAAAAAATTCCAGCTCTTTCTTATGGTCCATTTCAGAATCGTATTTGGGAACACCACCAAAACTGGTAGTTTTTTACTAAACCATAAGCTGTAAACATTCACTTACAGAGAAGAAAAGCTTAATATCAATTATATTTATGAAAAACATTTTGTCTTCAAAAAAAGAACAAAATAATATGTCTACAAAAAGATAAATGTAATTTGCTTCTATTTTAGTGAATAGTAGTATGCATAAGAGGAAAGAGCTCTGCAATGAATCGGTCAGCTAAAGGGCACAGGCCCATCATGTCTCATGGATCTCCCCTCCGAATTTCCTGATGACAGCAATGGAAAATGGTGAAATATAAAGAAGAAGTAGGCAAACTGTGTTACACAAATGTGAAGGATCATCACCATTACGACTGTTTCATAATCCCAAGAAAAAGCTGAGGACTATAAGAAGTCACAGTAAAGAAAATTATGGAAAAAGTAAATGGTTTCTTTTCCTTTCATTATCAAAGTCGTAGACCTGTCAAGGGGTCAGGTTTTGAGCCTTAGGATGCAATTTCACTAGTGAGAGAGCAGTCTGGCTCTAATATCTTTGTGGCCACAACCGGCAACCATATCACATATATCTTCATCTCATTAAAACCTGAACATGTGCCATCAGACCACAGAGAGTCCCAATCCTAGCCTACCTTAAGGTCTTTAAGGAAGCCTACTCTCTTTAAGGCAACACTGAAATACAAGTTTAACGGCTTGATAAAAATGATGAAGGATTTCCAAACACAAGATTGAGGCACTGTTTTATGAGGAGGATTACAGGATATATGTATAGTATTCAGGCTTCTGCATCCCTGAGGATATTATACATCCTTCTGCATTTTTACCACTATGTTCTTTTTTCTTTCAAGTTTGGTATCCATTTTGCTGTATTAGTTCTAGTGAACAATATAATTATATTTACAACAAATCTATATACCAATCATCATCCATTTAGAAGCCCAATTCTCACATTGACTTTTATAGTTATACTTAGTTGTTATGAGGAATCTGTATGTAAATAAGTAAATGGGAAACTCCTCTCTATGCCAATTCATTAAAGACTATGACTAGAATGGAGCAGACAAGTTGAGAAGGCCAAGACTATAGGGACAAAGAATAATAAAATGTTAAATTTTCAGAGTGATAATTTTAAGAATGGAAAATTGAGCATTAGAGCAGAGAGGTGACTTGTCCATAGTTATATAGCTAATATTGCAATAGAGTCTGGACTATAATCTATTTCTCTAGATTGTAAGTCCACCACACCATGCTACTTCCCACATGTTGGATATATTTCCATTTGACTATCTCAAAAGTTGTGGAAGGTGGGTCACCATCCACACTGACAGGAAGTGGACTGTTCTTTTCACAGAGATCTTTATCCCTAAGAAAGGAACAGCCTTCCTCATCTTTACCAATGTGCTTCGTAATGAACCACACACCTCAAAGTGAGAAAAAGTTCACTGTAAGAAACTCAAGCCACTCAACTTTGATCTGTTCTGTCACTTAGCTTAAGAGCAAGCCTTTCCCCCACCCCAGAGCAGAGTCTTCCTTTAACACTAGCCCGTAGGTCCTTCAGCTACCACTAAAGGGAGTTGCTCTTACTGTTGGCTCCCATGCCATCGGGAATAGTGGTGGGAGTGAGGGCGTTGCGCTGCTGAGGGTTGATAAGCTGGCTCACGGATGGCAGCTTGTTCATGCTGTTCATTTTGTTCAGAGGTGGGGAGCTGTTACCGTATGAAGACTGAGACTGCATCGAAGTCCTAGGAACACAAACATTGGAATGATGGTGAGCATGGGACACTGAAGAGTGGGGACTGGTCATTTCCAACAGGTCTCAGATTAACACATGGCCTTAAACTGTACACTTGCAAAATATTCCCCCAGGATTGATGAGAATAATTTATCTGCATTTCCATCTGAGAACTCTTCTTGACTAGGGAGGGATCACAAAACTATCATCAAATTATATTTTTCCTGAATGTATAGAGTACATAGTTGAATATCTTCCCAAAGAATATCCTTTGTGAGAGGGAAAATGATTGCATCCTCCTTTTTCTGCTATTTTTTTTTCTCTATCCCTTTCCCCTCTCTTATCTGTCAACTCAAATAGGTTTCAAAATCAATAAGAGAAAAGAACTGAATGAAGACTCTAAGGCTTATGAAAGATATGGAGAAGCCAAACTCAAATAGCAGCTGAGGCACTTCATTTTAGCTTCCTAGGCCATTTGAGATATGCAGAAAATAACTGCAGAGCCAATCAAACAAGGCCTTTGGCATCAGCCCCTGCCTTCATGCAGAGGCCTTGACATGGAAACATGCTTTGTCAGTTTAGACAGATGTTCATGGGACATAAAATAACCTATTGGAATGCTGATGGCCTCTCTATATAGAACCCTGGAGTCCGAACAACTATTTTGTTGACTTTCCACAAGTCTCCTGGGACACAAAGGAAAAAAAAAATTCCATTCAGCATAACTTTAATTTGAAAATTTATTAGAGTTGGTTTGTCATATTATTCACTATATTACATATGATATTCCCTACTCAATTGGCTTTCTTGACTTTTTATTTGAATGCAGAACTAACGATACCTACTAGAAATAGGGCAGGATATAAAATCAGAAAATGAAAGTTTAAGTCTTCCTCCAGTATATATTAGGAAGCTTTAGGTCTCCATGCAAGCCCGGCCTTTGTTTTCTCACATGGAAACTATATAAACTAAAAACATACACTTACTACAGGAACTAGATATTAGAGCTAGGAAAACTAACAAGAAATGGCTCTTTGAGAAGTTCACAGAATGGTGGATACACGGGGATGATAATCCCAGCTACCTTGTAGGGCTGTGGTGAGAACTGAAAAAGATGAAGGAGAACTTTATGGATGATATGGCATTAACCGTGAGCAATTATTGTGACCATAGAATGAAGATTGGACTTCGAGCATGTTTCTAACATATGATAGAAAAAACTCCCTTTTTAGACTTCTCAAGCAAAATGTATTATTTTGTTCCTGTTTGTTTTTTCCCTGCTATAGCTGTATTTATGTTAGAGGAGAGAGAAAAATGTTTCCTTGAGTTTTATTTGTGTGTGTGTATATATACATATACACACACAAACACACACACACACACAACTATTTATAAAATACAAATTTCGAAGGCTGTATAAATGAACTCAGGTTCCAAACAAACATAATATAATAATGTTTGAAAACATAATAAAAAGTGGTTCTAGCACTTGAGTGCTACAATAGTACGCTTGGTCTTTGAAGCTGATATTCTGCTCTCCATAATTACACAAAATAGGAATGAATGGTCTCATTCCATATCACCGAAGAGTCATACATAAGGGAATTCGAGCAATATGCTATATACACATTTGCAAAAATGAGCATGACAATTTATGTACAATTAACAATTCAGCTGCATATTCCCATCACTGTCTTTAAGGTAGGAGGACACTGATTTTTCTCTTTAGTCCTTCTCAAGAACTCACAGTTTTAGATTCATGTTGTATAAAGAGGTGTTTAAATAATAAACCCACCCAGTTTTAAGATACTTTAGGTTACGAAAGTCTCCTTTATCTATTTTGTGAAAGAGTCTCTCATCCCTGTGGAGGAGAAAATGGTATGGCAGGGCAGGGATGGGCAGAAATTATTATGCTTATTATACAGATGGGTAAATATAAGGTTCTAAGAGAAAATGTGCCAAGTGACACATTGCCAAATGATGACTAGAGAGGTCTCCTGGCTCCTAGTCCAAGATAAATAAGATAGTGTGGTGTGCATTAGGTTACAGAATCAAGAAATGGGTGAAGTAGTAAGCAAGATAAATGTGGGAGACCGTGATGGTGCAAGAAACAAGGGATGTAGTAAAGGGAGCCCCTCAACTATCACCAAATCTAATCCATCATGTGCACGAGTCAGCACATTTGGATATACTTAGGAACATCTGTAAGACCACATCAAAGTGCAAGAAAGCACAAGCAAGGTGGCCAAGAGATGTTTTGCCAGGCACTTCTTCTCGCTTTGTCCACCGCAAATTACCTAAGATGCCTGGTTGCTCAGACTCCAGAGGCAGGTTGGTCCTGTGTGACCTACAGAGAATTTTATCTATCTCTCCCATTCCCCTAAATCAGTCAAATGGGCATCGCTTGGACCAATAATGTTCATCATTAGGAAAATAAAAATATATTTAAAAGCTTTGCATTTTCCCCGGATCCTCAGTTATAGTAAATACCCTCTTCCAAATCCTGTTACAACTCTTTTCCCTTTCCCTTCATGTTTTTTTTTAACCATTTTATTAGTTCATTTATTATAAACCACTTAAACTGTTTTTGAAAAAGGTAGGTCAGAAACTACATATGAACAAAGAAAGAACATGCATTTTTGGAGTCAACCAAAATATCTAGGTTCACCTTCTAGATCCAACACTAATTAATTAATTTTGATTTTATACAAGTCTCTTGAGATCCATTTTCTTAATCTGTAGAACAGGCATGATACTCATTCTAGAAGAGTTGCTATGAAGATTAAACTGGATTATATGAAAGCCCTGGATTGTCCTATAATTTGTAGATGCTCAAGAAACATTGCTTACCTTTACTATTCTCGCCCCCGCCCCCCAATGTTTAATACTCTAGCATTTGGTCAAGGGGATGAGAATTAATAGGAGGAAGTAGCACATATTCTTAATTGAACAAATCTAAAATTTAGGGTGAGCAGATGAATGGGAATAAGAGAGTCTGAACAGGTCAGAAATTCTGAATGTCCCTCCTTTAAGTGAGTATTGAAGCCACAAAAAGAAGGTCAGGGTAGTCTAATATATTAAGTTTGCAATGTGTGACATAAAAAGAATATTCTGATCATCTCTACGTGCTGGGGAAAAGTGAGCAAGGCTGAATAAATTTGTGACTGATTTAAAGGCCTTGAGTGGACATTCACAAAGACTGATGGTGAATCTGAAAAGATGAATAAAGTGTTCAAGGATAACAGGACCTGTGCCACTATGGTTTTCTTACCCATCCACCTGCCAAAGCAAAACAAAGCAAAACAAAAACAGAAATGTAAGAACATAAATCTTCTCAGAAAAATAACAAGATGTAAGCCTCAGATTGTGTTCTCTAGAGGTATACGAGATTTTTCTGGGAATTCAATATAACAGAAATAAGGGAAGGCAGGTTTCATGTATTTCTAGTTTTCAGGAGAAATCCTGGTAAATCCTAGTTCTTAATCTAACAACTTAGGCTTCTGTGTACATTGTTAAAAATAAAATTCAATATCTTGGAGCTATAAGTGACCTTTAGATTGTCCAGGACTAGAAAGCAAGTTTCCTGATTCCTTGTCTAGTGACTATCTAGATGGCATATAGTCAAAATTCTTAAGAAGACAAAAATTCGTCATCTTTTCCACCTTGCTGGAGATGCCTAGAATTCCACCAAAGGATTCTTTCTTTTGCCTTAAATCTTCCATTGCTAATTATAAAGCAACTCTTTAGTAGAATTTGATGATAGCTCAGGGTAAATCTATTTCACGAAACCATTTCTGGAGTACAGAATCTGAGGGCAGAAAAGAGTATTGAGGGGTACTGCAAAATACCTCTGGTGTGAGGAAGGTTAAAAAAGGGGAAGATGCCGAACATCAGAAAAGGATTGTTTCTTTAAATTTTCCCCAGTACTTCCCTGCCTGTAACCTTTTTCTCTAGCTGGGCAATCTTTCTTCTAAATACAAGGGCAGCATTTTATTTCTAGATAGATCAATCATAATTATAAAATGTTATCCATCAGTTCAAATATGTTCATTTATATAAAAGTCACTATAAACACATCAAAAACTTTCATAAAAATTGGGTAAAAGAAAAAACAAATGTGAAAAAACTAAACATACTCATTAACCCTTTATGGGATTTATGAATCAAAATTATTAGATTAATCGAAAACACACTGCAAATTAAACAAGATCATCTAACGTTACTAATATATTTTTATCTCAAACATAAAGATGTTTTTTTCCTGGTATTTTTCTAAGCTACTAAATTATTTTTATTTTGAACAATTGTTTTTGAAGCTTTTAAAGCAATTAAAGATCAGAATATATTGTTATTTCTTTAAAAAAAAACACTGGACAACAGTTTCAACTAAGATTTTAGAATGAATATTTGCTAATGTCTATGTTGCACAAGTCAAATTATTTAATAACTTTGGACTTGATTTAAATTCCTTTTGATAAATTTAGCAACATGAGATGTAACTCAAGACTTGTTCAGGGAGTGACTAAATGATACTATAGTGCCTGGTTTCTTATGATAAAATTAAACATTTTCGGATTAGTGTAGGCATTGTAATTTATTTTTAGGATTGATGATATTGATACAGAGTATCTTGAAACACTAAATACTGACACAGTGTAAGCAAAACTAAAGTAACACTTCTATTACTCTTGTTCTTTAGACTTCTACATGATACTTCAAGTACTTCAATGAAAATATTCTTATTTAAGGAATTAAAAAAAAGCAAGAGAGACAGAAAAGAAAAAAAAACTGCAAGATAAACCAAGATGCAAAAGTTTATTGAAAATTAAAATCACACATCCATAAAGCAACAGCCTCAATAACAAGAAATCATTTTGACACAGAATCAAGAGCTGGTGATCTGGTATGGGGAAATGAGGGAGAGAGATTCCTAAAGTGTTTACACTATTATTTCGAAATGTGTGTGTGTGTGTGTGTGTGTGTGTGTGTGTGTGTGTTTAATGGAAAGAA